CTGCAAAGTCAGCCGTTCAAAACTATCAGCCACTCTGTGAGAGAAAGATGAGACTTTCTACTCCCATAAAGAGTTGCAATCCTGGAAGCGCAAGAGGTCAGTCCTCTTCTGCCCTATACGTTCACTCCGATTCAGAATTAACTCAATGACAGGGACTTGGAGAGTTTGTTTTTTTATTCCACTCTTTGGACAATATCCTTTATTGTGTGTGCCAATCTGTGCTATCGCTAGAAGGTGATCGCCTCAGGGAGTCCACTGGTCTCAACTGGTCCGGTCAGTCTGGGTTCTGTTCTGGATTTTCCTCCCTTTCTGTCAAGGTTTAGCTGTTGCACCCCCCACCCCCACCCCAGGCTTCTTAACACACCAAGAAGCAAACGGCTGGGCAAAAGAGATGGAAAAATAAGTGTAAATCAACACCGAGGACTACCGAGTGGCAAAAACCCACGTCAGATACAGCGCACAAACAAGGAATATTTGTGATTTGTGTAACTGACCCAGAACGAGACTCCGGAATTCATCAGTAGTCCTACACATCTCACAGCCATACAATTAAAAAGGGGAGAGAGACAACCACATTTTTTTTTGGACTAGGCGAAGGATATGAGCAAGCAATTCACAGAAGATAAAATATAAGGCCAATCAATTCATAAAGAGATGTTCCCTCGCCTTAGTAATCAGAGAATTACAAGTTCGAACAGCGTGAGACGATTGCCTTCAGGAAATGACTAACGCTCAACTCATCCACCAGGTCTCCGCTCACATGTCCTTTTTGTCTAGAAAGCTCCTGCTGACCCCTGGCTGGGCCCCACTGCCAGCTGGGCTCCTTCATTCATGCCCATTTGCGGGAGGGGGGGGGCATCACTGTTTGGGGGAGCTGCCTGTCTCTCCCACTGGAGCCCCTAGGAAGCTGAGAGCTGTCGTGGGTCACCCCTGTGTTACTCGTACCCCTCAAAGAAGTGCTCTGGGGAATATGTGAATGAGTGGGGAAACTGAGGCCAAGTCCATGGCAGGGTCAGGATTCAAACCCAAGTCTCTGGGGCTCTACTGAGAGAAGGGCCCTCATCTGATCCCCCACCCTCGCGTCTCTACCGGGGAGCCTGGGGGGCACGCAAGCGGCGCTCAGCAACTGGAAGTGGTTCGCCAACCTAACCCTCCACCCGCCGCAGTCCTCCAGGACCATAGAGAGCCGAGCAGGACCGCCCCTTCTCATGCCACGCCCCTCCGGGAGCAGTGAGGGCGGGCTGGAGGGCCAGAGGGGCCGGAAGTGCGGTTCTTCTGCGGCCGCGCTAGCCGCTTCGGCGGGGGCTCGCCTCGATTCCCCTTTGGGCCTCTTCCTGCAGCCTCGGGGCCTGGAGGTGAGTCCCTGCCGGCCACGCTGAGATCGCGAAGGTGGGGAAGGACGTGGAGGCCCGCGGAGGGGCGATTGATGGTGGCGGAAGCCAATCGCTGCACAACCGGACCGGACTGGACGTGGGGTGGACATCCAGGTGGGGCACCCTGGGGCGGGGCTAACGGGGTGGTGAGAACCGGTGGAATGAATGGAAGGTGGGAGTGGGAGGGGACGGCGGAGTTTAGGGCCTTGGAGGGGCGGGGCGAGCGAGAAGTGAACCCTCTAGTTCCCAAAAGGGGAGGGCGAGCAGAGGGGCGGGCGCGGCTTTATTGCACCTGCCGTGTTTGGGACTGGACGCTTTGAAATCCTGGGATTTGCGGGCGTTGGGGGATAGCTGAGAGTGAGGTCCCTACTGAGGGATGTGAAGGCAGGTGCTGGGGGCCCCCATTCTCTCCAGGCCCAGATGGACCCTGGGAAGGACGAGGAAGGGGTGCCACCGGCCCCAGCGCCACCCCAAAGAAAGAAATTCGTCGTACCACTGGATGAGGACAAAGCCCCACCTACCGGGGTAGGATGAAGATTGGGCGGCGGGAGGAGTAGTGGACCGTTTCGGGGGTGGGGGGCAAGGGGCCCAGAAAAGGTCTGTGGCGTCCAGACTGAGTTAGGAAACAATGGGGCCTGGCCGCTTTGGGCAAAACCGTCCTTTGCTCCCTATAGGCCTCAGTTTCCCCATTTGTGAAACGGCAGGGTGGGCCTGAGAAAGGGCCAAAGCATAGGCAACAACAGGCTGGCAGTCAGTGAGGGGCACGGGGTTACGTTTTCCGTAGCCAAGCTTGTGGTGTTGCCCACAGTTAGAAGCGTTGCAAGTGAAAGAGGAAATTCTGCTCTGATTTTTTGGTAAATGGAAGGATCTGGCAACACCGAGGCTCGCCTGCCATCTATAGGCTATGAAGAGAAAAGGGAAACTGGGCTAAGGAGCGAGAGGGGAGGGGAGAGAATGAACACCCTAGATCTGAAGGTTAAGGCATGAAGGAGTGGGGGTGAGTCCTGCAGATACCTGGGAGGAGAGGGAGTGGCCAGTGCAAAGGCCCTGAGGTCAGGGGTACCCGACAACCTTGAAAGGGGCAGCAAGAATGCCAAAGGGGGTGGAGTGGAGGGACCCAGGGGGTAATGATGGGAGGGGAGGACAATGGATAGGCCAGGACGCAGAAGACAGGTCTTTTAGCTCTTCCATTCTGTCAGCGTTGACTCTTTCTCTGAGGCTAGAGGCACGGGAGGGGACAGGACGGGATCCCTTTGGCTGCAGGTGAGCAATAGGCTCATGGAGGAAGTCAGGTCACATGGTGAGGAGTGGGGAGGTGACGGTGGGGTGCAGGTGGAGGGACCGGAGAGACAGGGACTGGGGAAATTTTGAGCTCTCCACCCTTTTATGGCTTGGCCTCTGCAAGGTGCCTTGGGAGGCTAGAAGGTGTGCTGAGCCTGATGAGCAGGGGAGGGATCCCCCACTCCTTCCTCAGGCACTAAACATACCCCTGCAACGTGTTCCCACAGGCCAAGCTCTTGTTCAAATCCACTCGGGGCCTTCCTGCTGTGGAGACCCCAGCCCAGGCTGCCCCTCAGACCTATGCTGAATATGCCATCTCGGGGCCTCCAGCCCCCTGCCCCACAGGGCCAGACCCCCCAGCAGGAGAGACCCCCAACCAGGCTCTGAAACCTGGGGCAAAATCTAACAGCATCATTGTCAGCTCCCGGCAGGTGAGGCGGGATGGAGAAGTGGGCTGGGAGGGATTGGGGCTGGAAACCCTGCATGGGTGGTCCTGGGGGGCAGGGGAGGCCTGGTGGCCTAGGGGTTAGGCATTGGGTTGCTGACTTCAAGGTCAGCAGCGTGGAAACTACAAGCTGCTCTGCTGGAGAAAGACGAGACTTTTTACTCCTGTCCAGAGTTACAGCCTGGGAAACCCACAGGGGGCAATTCTACTCTGTTCTATAGGGTCCTGTGGGACAGGATGACTGTGGGTGGAGCTGTGGGGGTGGGGTGTTCCAGGACATTCCAGGATGTAGAGGAGGAGGCTCTGGGGGTGAGGGGGAAGGAGGGAGTGGTGGGGAATCGCTCTGCCCACCTCCCCTTTCCCAGAGGGGCAACCCCGTGCTGAAGTTCATCCGCAACGTGCCCTGGGAATTCGGCGAGGTTCTAGCCGACTATGTGCTGGGCCAGAGCACCTGTGCGCTCTTCCTCAGGTGAGCTTCCACCCCCTGCCCCCACACCTGGGAAAGGCCGTCAGCCAGGCTGGGTGGTGGGGAGCACAACAGGGGACAGGGCACCCCTATTCCAAGCTCCTTGCTAGTTCCCCCTATGGTGGGGGTGGGGCTTCAGCCTGGAGCTGGGTCCAAGGGAGGGGGCAGGTAGGGTGGGTGATCCTGGGTCTGAGGGAGGAGGGGCTGATGACTTTCGTCCCAGACATCCCAGGCCTGGGTCCCATAGACCCAGGATTTCCTGGACAAATCCTCCAGCCACATGAGCCCTTCTCCAGCCCAGGACCCTGATGGACAAATAAGCTTCTCACTTTCTGTCTGCTGGTGGGAGCCAGAGGCTGCTGGGCCGAGATGACCTCTGGTTACCCTAACAGAGGAGCCACTCCACCCACAGCCTGAGCTCTCTTGAGACCAAGGCTAGAGGGCCTGCTCCCTAAACCAGCTCTGTGGGAACCCCCCTGCTTCATGTGCTCGGAAGACCCCAGTTCCCATGTGAAGCGCCCAGGGATCCTACCTCAGGGAGGTGGGGAGGGCCAGGTGCCCTGGTTCACACCACCTGCTGTGTCCTTTCCTTCAGGAGGGATTCCGGAATCTCTGCCCCCGCCCCCCCCCCCACCATGCTTGTGGCTGTGGGATGGTAGAGGTGGGTGGACCTGAGCATGCTGGCCTCTATGGAGGGTGAAGGGCTCCTGGGGTCTTGGGGAGACTGAGACACGCCCCCCCTGCCCTGTCCCCGGCAGCCTCCGTTACCACAACCTCCACCCAGACTACATCCACGAGCGGCTGCAGAGCCTGGGGAAGAACTTCGCCCTGCGGGTCCTGCTGGTCCAGGTGGACGTGGTGAGTGGGGCCTCTCTTCCCAGCTGGGCAATGGAGGGTTTGGGGGTTGCAGGTAGCAAAAGGGTGTGTGTGGGGGGTGGGGGGGGTCCGACTCATGGAGATGTGCCAACAACATGACAAAACACTGGATGGTCGCCAGTGGGGGACCCCTGCTTCCTCTGCCCTCTGCATAGGGTGTTTCCTGCAAGGGATTCCCTTCCCTGCTGCCCTTCCGTTTGAGCTCTGATGCCCCCTGCTGGCCCTGCCTCCTTGCAGCATTGCTGCCTGGCTGTGGGTCTGTCTGCACACTGGAGCAAGGGTCCTAAGGGGGCCAGGGCTGGAACAGGGTCTGCCGACGCGATGTCCTCCTGCCGCCCAGCCCCAGCTGAGCACCCTGGAGGGGCTCTGGGAGGGTGCATAGGAGGGCGCTGGGTGTCTTAAGGGACTTGTCTTCATCATGGACTGACACTCCTTGCTCTCTTTCCGACCTTTGACTTTCCTTCCCTTTCCAGAAAGACCCTCAGCAGGCCCTCAAGGAGCTGGCGAAGATGTGCATCCTAGCCGACTGTACGCTGATTCTCGCCTGGAGGTAAGATGGAGCCCCACCTGCCCCTGCTCAGGGTCTGTCACCCGTCACTCCTCCTCCTCCTCCTCCTCCTGTGTGAACCTGGGCCACACACTGCCTCTCTGGGCCTCAACCTCACTTGTAAAACCAAAACATTCACTGCCCTCAAGTCACTTCCAACTCATGGTGACCCTACAGGACAGGGTTTAGAACTTCCTCTGCGGGTTGCCAAGACTGTTAAGTCTTTACACGAGTAGAAAGCCCCATCTTTCTGCCGTGGAATGGCTGGTGGTTTTGAACTGCTGACCTTGATGTTAGCAGCCCGATGGGTAACCCACTATGCCACCAGAGCCCCTCCTCATCTGCAACGTGGGCTCACAACAGCTTTCTAACAGACTCGCAGACATGAGAGGCACAAAAGGTTAAGAACTCAGCTGTGAACAGAGAGCTTGGCCCCTTGAATCCCCCCGGAGGTTGCGCAGAAGAAAGGCTTGGTGATGTACTTCTGGGAGGTCACAGCTGCTGACGGCCCTGTCTGGCAGTTTCTCTGTGACACACCTGGAATGAGTCACCATGAGTCAGGACAGGGTCCACTCAGCGGCAACTACGATGACTGTTTTTTTGTTTTAAAAAGTTTTCTTGTGAGGCTATAGGCACCAAGGCAGGTGATGTGGATCAAATCCTCAGACCCAGACAAGGCGGCTGATGACTTAGATGTAAACCAGGCTGACCACCGGCCCCGTGTCTACATTCTGGGCTGGCTTTCCATTGGGAAAAGAAGGCATCCCTCCCTCACGCCGTAGAAGCAGAATTCAATTCCTGACAAATGACTGCTTCAAGTGTCACAAGAGATAATGTACTATTAAAAAAACAAAACGTGATAAGGAATCTTCGGAAGATTTCCTTTTAACCACAGGGGCAGGAAGTCTTCTGGGGCACGGCACAAAACCCCAGGGGCCCTAAAGGATGACTGAACTGAAAAAAAAAAAAATTGGGGGGAGGGGGTGCAAACTTCTGGATGAGAAAGAGGGCAAGTCCAAAGACAAGGGACAGACTGAGCAACGGAGGCCCAAGGAGGTAAAATCCCTTGCCTGGTGTCACCCAGAAGCGAGCTCTGGTGGCGCAGTGGTTAAGTGCTCACCTGCCAACTGAAAGGCTGGTGGTTCGAACCCAGCAGCCAGGGAGAACGATGTGCCCATCGACTCAGTAGCGCGACAGCCTCAGGAACCTGTGAGTCACTTCTGTTCTGTTCCACAGGGCTTGCTGTGAGTTGGAACTAACTTGACGGCCTGCAATAGTGTCCCCCAGGCTGGAAGGAGGGGTGGGGGCTAGCTGGAACCCGACTGGCCTCGGAAAAAAGGTGTTAGGATAGGCTGGCTATGTGCGAGCCCCCAATAAAATGATTAAAAAAAAAAAAAAAAAGCTGGCTGAGGTGACGACTGCAGGGCATGTGGGGCAGGGATCTTTGAGCTGTCTACGCTAAATTGGGAACGTTTAGCTAGCACCAGCTTTAGAAAGGTATCCGAAATGGATCGCAAAGGTGACACCCTCTCCTTGCTCCCCTCCCCTCAGCCCAGAGGAGGCTGGGCGCTACCTGGAGACCTATAAGGCCTATGAGCAGAAGCCGGCGGACCTGCTGAAGGAGAAACTGGAGCAGGATTTTGTCTCCAGGGTGAGGGCTTCTCCCACCGCCTGGGCGGCTGAGCTTCTCTGCTGACCTGGGCCATGTTCTTCTATCCCCCGGGCTTCTCCCCCTTACCTGTAATCCCCAGCCCCACACCCACTCCAACCAGAGGGCTTATAGGACATGCCCACCTGATCTTACCCTCCCCTGCTCCGAACCTTTCTATGGCTCTCCGGTACCACTAGCAAAAGCCTGAGCTCCCTGCCACGTTCTGCCTAATGGGCGTCCCGGGAGGCTCAGTGAAGCACTGGGCTGCTGAGACGGGGGGGGGTGGGCCCTAGAGGGCCCTAGGAAGAAAGGCCTGGCCACCTGCTTCGGAAAGATCAAGGCCTGGCAAACCCTCTGGGGCAGGTCTGCTCTGCACACTCGGGGTCACCACCCTTCCACGCCCAGCTTACTCCCTTGGACACGTGCCCTTCCTGCTCCCTGCGGGAGCCCAGCTCTCTCCAAAGCTGATGCCCCAGCCCAGCCCCTTCCTGATCCCCGATGCCCCAGCCCTGCCCACGGTACATGCCTTGGTTCCCAGTGGCCCTCAGGGAGTTATTGCTGAGAGAGCTGGTGGATCTGGGGTCATGGCAACAGTCATGGGGAGAGGGGTGTGTGGTTTGGGTCTGTGCCGGGCAGGCTGAGGACCCAGCAGGACATTAGCCCTGGCCCCTGGGGGCCTGTCTCCTCCCTACCTGGCCCCCGTGTTCTTCCACCAGGTGACTGAATGCCTGACAACCGTAAAGTCGGTCAACAAGACAGACAGCCAGACCCTCCTGGCTACCTTTGGGGTAAGGAGTGATGCCCCCCTTATCCCCCACTGCCCCCTTCCGGTGCAGCTTTCCCTCGCCAGATCAGCTGGGGCAGGGAAGGATTTGGCACTCACCCCTCTAAACTGCCCCCACCCCCTTCTGTCTTCAGTCTCTGGAGCAGCTCATTGCTGCATCCCGGGAAGATCTGGCCTTGTGCCCCGGCCTGGGGCCCCAGAAGGTGAGCATGCTGTGGATTGGCTTGAGGGTGGGGTGAAAGGGGGCCCCAACTACATGCGACGCTGGACCCCAAAGTTCCGGGGGGCAATTGAAGGTCCTGGCCCAGCCTCGCACAGCCAGTCAGGGATAAGGGCTACTCCCAAGCACCCCACCCCGACACTGGGAGAAAAGAAGGGCACACCGCACAAGCCCCCCCTGTCTGTCTGCATCAACCCGAGGGCTCCTTTAATGACTGCCTTCTCTCCGTTCTCCGCCCGCCAGGCCCGCAGGCTGTTCGATGTCTTACACGAGCCCTTCCTGAAAGTGCCCTCATGTCCCCAGCTGTCCCAATAAAGCATTTCCACGCTCCAGGCTCCTGCTGGTGTGGTTGGCGTGGGGGCGTGTCCTCCGATGGGCCCTGGACCATTTTCAGATGGTGGGGGCTGCAGCCCCCATTTTCTCCCAGGGGAGGCTACTGGGGCTCGAGCCGCAGGTACTTCTTCCGGGCTCCAAGTCCAGCGACAGCCCTGGCTGCCCGCCATCCTGGTCCCTTGGGGAGGCCCAGGCCTCC